TCAGTGGGGAGTCTGCTTCTCCCTCTCCTTTCCCCCCCACTCCCCACCTCCCGCCCCATTCATGCATGCACGCTCTCTTTCTCTCAAATAAATAAATAAAAATATTTAAAAAAATGAATAAACAGCTTCTGGGTTATTATTTTGAGGATCATAGTTTGAACTTTTTCTAGATGTTTGTTTCTATTTCATAGCAACTTGTAATTTTAAAGATATAGCCAGTCAAATCTCTCTAAGGGTATTATTTATACTTATTTTAAAGTTGTTTTCTGTGTAATCTTTAATTTTCTTAGTTTTTTTTTCTTCAGATGTTTAATTTGGGGATTCTTTATACAGTTGGTATCCTTAAATCATGAGATTTTGGTGGACACAGTGCCTTGCATCTAGACTTCATAAGCAGAGCCTGAGCAATACCATATTTTTTCTATGTAAGGATAGGAGACATGTTCCTTTTTAATATTTTAATGTACTCAGCCCCCAAACCCTTAAGAAAAGTGTGCTTACATTGAAACACACATTTTGGATGAAAAAATAAGCCAATGCTTTAAAAACTGACCTGGAAAGAGATTATTTGGTTAAACTTGTAGATTACATAGTCTTTTATGATATTGTGTAACACTTTAAAAATATTTCAATTATATTCATTAGTGAATAGGTACATGGTTGTACCTTAATAATGATGATTAGTTGAGATTTGTCATGTTGAAGGGAGCAAGCCTGTGGCATTTTGCAGACTTTTCCTTGGCCCAGTACCATTCAACAATTAGTAACTAGGATGAAATTACAAAAGGAAACTTTGTCTTTGTGGATGACAAGCTGGGAGATTCCAGATTTAGGAATCAAAACCATACTGAGTGCACTGCTGGAACTAAAATGAATTTAGAAAAATTAAGATGGATAAAGGTATAGTGTTATATGTGGACTAAAAACCCAACCCAACTTTGAGTATAAAAAAGGGGAGATGAGGCAAAACAGCATAGTTACAAAAGACAGAGGATTTTTAGTTCATTTTAGTTAAATATCAACTAAGCAATGTCATGTGACTGTTAAAAAATAGGCTTTTAATATGTTACTTTCAAGAGAAGAGATATCCAACTGTGCTGACAAGACCTAAATGGATTAGAAGTATCACATGCAGTTACGGGTACCATACTTTGAAAGAAACACAGTACATACCTCTTAAATAGCAACTGAAGGAAGAAGGGATTATTTCAAAGTAAAAAAAAAAAAAAGAGTCCTCAGAATAGAAGAGTTACCTGGAAATATTATAAAGGGTTGTCATGTGGGGGAGGGAATAGATGTTCTCTATATAAACTATCCCAATGTTTGGAACCAGGAGCGATAGACACATACACTAGGGAAATAGATTTTTAAATCAATGTAGGAAAGAACTGACAGAACTGTCTAGACATGAAGAACATGACCTGAATAGGTAATAGGCTCCTCCAACATCAATAGAAGTTTTTGATCATGAGATACTTGTCTATCTAATGTCTTTGAGGAATTTGAGGCATAACCATGTGTAACTAATCCTTTCAACCTAGAGATTCATTAATTCTATGACATCAAATTTTAAAAGCGGGGCGCCTGGGTGGCTCAGTCTGTTGAGTGTCTGCCTTTGGCTCAGGTTATGATCCCAGGGTCCTGGGAGAGAGTCCCACACCAGGCTCCCTGCTCAGTGGGGAGTCTGCTTCTCCCTCTGCCCCTCTCCCCTGCTCATACATGCACATTCTCTCTCTTTCACAAAAATAAAAATAAAATCTTTAAAAAAAAACTTAAAAGATTAGGGACACCTGGGTGGCTCAGTCAGTTAAGCATTCAGTTCTTGATTTTGGATCAGTTATGATCTCAGAGTCCTGGAATCGAGCCTTGCATCAGGTTCTGAGCTGGTCAGGGAGTCTGCTTGAGGAATTTCTTCCTCTGCTCCTCCCCCTGCTTGTGCTTTCTCTCTCTCTCTAAATATTTACTAATTTATTTTAGAGAGAGAGAGCAGGGGGGTGGCAGAGGGAGAGGGAAAGAGAGAATCCTCAAGCAGACTCCTTGCCAGGCTTGGAGCCTGATGCGGGGCTTGATTCCAGGACTCTGAGATCATGACCTGAGCTGAAATCAAGTTGGATGCTTAACTGACTGAGCCACTCGGGCGTCCCTTTAAAAATTTTTAATTAAGAATGAAATTGGTAACAAGAGTAAAGGCAGCATAATTTTCCAGGAAAAGGAGAAGGTACAGACAAGTCAAGCAAAGGAATTTTGTTTTTAAAAGAAATCTGGGTATTTGACTTTGGGGGGAAAAAAAAAAAAAAGAAAGGGTCCAGGGGAGAAGGGGTGGAAAAGCAGGAGATTGGGAACTGGGCTCTGAGAGATGGGAGTTGAGATTGTAGAGAAGAAACACATTTCTGAAGCCAATGACGTGTTTGTGAGGATGGCTTAACATGAAAGATTACTGATTCTTCTGTTCTCCCAATTGATAATTTTTCTTTGTAAATTAGGAAATTAAGTATTTGGGGTGGGGGAGGGTGAGCAGAGACTTAATGACAGAGGAAGAAGATAAAAACCAGCTCCCACTGCTGGATACTGCCACTGCCACACCCCAGTCTTTCATAGTGATGCCCATTCCTTTAGTATAACTTTCAGCAAATTTATTCTTGCTTCTTGTTTTGTCCCACATCAGCTCTGCTCTTCTGCTGTCATAATTTGAGTGTTTGCCCCGTTCTTAAGTACTTCTTTAAAAAGCTGAGTGGTAGATTCAATCTACTGATCTGATTATCATGTTTAAATGATCTTTCCAAAATGTAAAACATGTCTATAATTGTTTTGGGAATTCAAGTGGATGCAAAAGAAAAAAAAGTTAAATTTACTAATCAAACCTCAGTTCTGAGACTATACATCGTGAAGACAACGTGGCAAACGGACATAAGGAAAACAGATTTGTGAACCTAAAGGGCAATTATTTTATGCATAATTCTATTGCATTTCTTAAAACAAAGAGTCTCATTGTTTGCGTGTAACACCCAGTGCTCCATGCAGTACGTGCCCTCCTTAATACCCATCACTGGGTCAACCTATCCTCCCAACCCCCTCCCCTCTGAAACTCTGTTTCCCCAGAGTCCATAGTCTCTCATGGTTCATCTTCCCCTCTAATTTCCCCCCTTCATCATGGAACACTATAGCAAAAACTAATGAAGTGCTGTATGGTGACCAACATAACATAAAAAAAAAAAAAAAAAAAAAAAAAAAAAGTGACTAATACCCGAAAAAAAAAAAAAAAAAAAAAAAAAAAAAAAAAAGACCAAAGTGACAACTACCCGAAAAAAAAAAATTCACAGTAAAAAAAGCAAGCAAACAAACAAAAAAACCAGAGTCTCAAACTTTAGCACACATAATGGCCTGGATGGTTTGTTAAAACAGATTTCTAAACTTTCCTACCTGGGATTGATTCAGGTTTGAGATAGGGGCCATGAGGCTGCATTTCTCACAAGCTCCAGGTGATGCTAATGCAGCTGCTCTGTGGACTACACTTATGGGTAAAACTCTTTTAAAATACACTGCAAAGAATGCCATTTTCAGATTATCTAGTACTATCTAGTTAAAAAAACCCAGATAATTATAGATTATTAGGTCCCTTCCTTGAGTGACAATCTTAATGTCATCCTTCCATTACTTCTATGTTTGCTGTCACACTCATATACTACCTATATTACAATTTAGTATTTCTGCTTGTCTTTTTATTTGAATATTATAAAATGAAACATTATATATTATAAATACAAAATCAGTACCACTTGTCATAGGTAGGTCATTTTCAAATAAAATACAATTTAAAAAACTATAAAATTCTTGCTATTGTTTTTTTTTTTAAGATTTTATTTATTTGAGAGAGGGAGAGAGAGAGAGAACGAGCAGGGGGGAAGGGGAGAGGGAGAGGGAGAAGCAGGCTTCCCACTGAGCAAGGAGCCTGATGTGGGACTTGATTCCAGGACCCTGGGATCGTGACCTGAGCCGAAGGCAGATGCTTAACTGACTGAGCCACACAGGCGCCCGCTAAATATTGTTTCTGAAGTTCTGAAGCCTATTCTTTTTCTTAACAAGGGGGATTAAAAGATGACAGCACAATTGTGACATTCTCCTTTACTTAATTAGAAGGTTCAAAGAAGAACTGAAAAGAACTTCCTATTTGACTTAAATGTTTAGTGCTGTGTCTATGTACAACCTAAATCAATCCCATCTTCTCAACTTATTTCTCAATTAAATCTTTATCCTAACACCTTAAAAATAAGAGATATAATAGATCACTCATATACTTAATTGGTTTCCATTTTTACCTAATTTCCATATTTCTCAGAGACATAGTAATAAGGTACCACAGGTTAATGTCAAGCTTCAAATGGAGATTAAAATACTTATTTTATAATTTTAATAAAATATTTACTTGCCCCAACCTCCTTCTCCTTCTTTTTTCATACAGTGCGTCTGGTGCTTCTTGAAAGTTTGTTTAGAATTTAACCTGCATCATACTTTTTGCTGACATTATTAATAAACATTTTCAGAAGGGGGATTATGCCTTGTAAATTTTCACTTAGTGACATAAGCTATTAAACAAAAAAATTACTCACACTATATTGTTTTGGCTAAACTTGGTGAACAAGTTAAAAAAAAAAAAGCAGCCTCGACATTATGCAGTAATTAAAAAGAATGAGTTAGATTTATTCATGATCTGGAAGGCTGCACATGATGTACTATTGAGTGCAAAAATTAGGTTGTAGTATCATGTATTATAATAATATTAATGAAAGACCCTTTCCCACATGAATGTATACATATGAGTAGGAAGAAGGATATAGAAGGATGAACAGTGTGCTGTTAATTTTTGGTTACCTTGGTTGCTAGTTGAGGTTAGAAATGAAGGTAGAAACATATATTGAAAGATTAAATTTTTTCTTCATAGACTTTGTCATTTTACCTTTGAAACATTTTTTTTTAAAGAAGAATTCAATGAATAGGATTTAAAAATGTAATCTGGATAACAAAGTTTAATGAACAACTTTTGGTGAGGATTTGAACCTGGTACTACAGGTTAGAAATGCTGTACTAGCTCTAATTTATGTATAAAGCCTACATTTCCAAAAGCCAAACTGCATCTAGACAAGTAATAAATAACCCATAAAGAAAGTGAATATGAAAATGGCTTCCATGAGAAATGCATCACACCTTAAGACATTGTTATATACAAGAATATAATTATTACATTTAAAAAATAATTTCAATTAACCAAAGAGACAAACAATTGAACTCTGTAGCAAAATGCAGACTAATATATTAATTTTAAAAAATACTATGTCATGGAAGAAGACTAATATTTACCTGAAGAAGAAACTTCATTAAAGCTTCCAATACTCATGTGGATTTTATAAAGCCAATAAGATAAAGGCAACAGAAATATAAAATACCCTTTTATAGAATGACTTTTCTTCTTGAAAAAGAGTCCCTTATAAGCTTTTATTTTGACATAAATTTAAAGATTGTAACCGAGAAACCACAAGTATTTCCGGGTAAGGGTGAAGACCCATTTGCTTGTTATCTTTCAACTTCTGTACTATAACTTTGGCAAATTCTTCTCCTTGGATGTCAGTGGTGTCCAGTAACTGTCTGACTTTTGAGGTCCTTGTAGGTTTGGTACTAATGAGTTCATAGTCCTCCTTCATGATCAAGTCCCTGGACAGAAGAGCGTCTAGCGACTGGTTAAGGCAGGCTTCTGTCATCTGGCTCACAATGTCTTCCCTTTTACTCTGGATCCACTGTTGGGCTATGCCAGGCTGTGATTGCGCTGCAGAAGAGCAAAGCATGACAGATGAGTGAGGACAGGTAAACAGCTATGAGTAACACTGGATGAACAAAGAAGTAACAAGGAATAAAACCCCTAATTTTCTACGATTATGCTAATATGGAACACAAGTATTTTGGGAGATGCTGCTAATTTTCAGGAAACACTCAGATATTTGGGTTATCTGTTCTTTTCCCTTCAGTTCCCTTCCCAGAAAAAGACTTTTTATATGCTATAAATCCACGGGGGCAAAACCCAATCTATGTTATAGATATATATATTTTTTAATATAAAGGATATCTGCATATTTTTTAAATAAACAAAAATAACTTCACCTTTAGCAACATATTAAGTCACACCTCCTTTTAGCATTCCCTCCCTACATAGATGTTAGATGTTCATGGAATACCATGTGGGCCTATTATTACATGTTAGCACTCATCTCCTAGGATTGGAAGTACTTTCCTACTTAAGAAGGTATATATTTATCATGTTGAAGAAATAAAGACAAAACTTACTGCATGGCAAATATACTGAACATAGAGTTGCGAGGTAAACAGCATCATTTACAAAGTGCTAAATATTTACCTGAGTTTCCCTCAGCTGGGAGTGGATTTATTACTGCTAAAGAGCACAGGGTGGTCTTGTGATCACAAAATGTCCCCTTCTGAGCTGCAGAAATGTTACTATTGCAACTGTGATTTACAGGATAGTGACACAGCGTAGAAAAGTCTTGAGTTTTTCCTACAAAACACAGTATCTTCATTAGGGGTAGAATAGTCCTTAGCTATTCCTATTAGCTAAAATATCAACATCTGGGTCACACAGAGGATAGTATTCAATGTGTTTAAATTTTCACTGTTATTAAAGCTGGTTCATAAACCTAATTCCACAAGTAAATATATTTTAGAACAAAAATGTGTTTATAATGAATGTTTTTACCACACTTCTGTCTGTGCTTGCCTGTTTTATGTAAATTATAAATCATGAAACTTTACTTCTTCACATAATTCCGTATTTCTACTGTGTCTTCTTCCTTCTGTACTTTAAATGTGTCTTCTAAATCTATTTATGATATGTGTCTTTCTACACTCTTCCTCGGTAATCCTATTCAACCTCAGGGTCTCAACTGTCACCTCTCTTCCAAAATCTATACAATTAAATTTTTCTTCACTGAACCTTAGTCTTACATTTTCAACAGTCCACTAGACATCAACCTCATATGCGCTAAGCACCTCAAATTTGAAAAAAAAAATTAAAAACTTAATTATTCCTCTAACTCTAAAACCTATTTCAACTATTTCTGTTAATAGCATCAATGTTCTCCCAGTGACCAGGTTTGACAACTTGTTCGCTTTTTCTCTCTTTCTTCCTACAAGTAGAATTCTATAAGCTCCTTCAGTGTGTCCTCCATAACATTTCTCTCATCATTTCTCCCTTCTTGTATTCTGGATCAGGTCTCACAACCTCTCATGTATATTACAGTAACAGACTAACAGTCTACTAATTGGTTTCCCCACCTGCATTCTCCTTTTCCTTCCAATACATATTCCAGCCAGGACGAATCTTCCTAAAGCAAAAAATTTTTGTCATGTCACACCCTTGCTCAAATATCTGCAATAGTTGCTCCCTACCCAAGTGAAAAAGCCCAAATAGCTCCGCCAAGTGTTAGAATTTGTGATGATATGACTCCACCCTATTGATCTTTTATCTCCTTTCATTCATCCTTTTTACCAGCTAAAACCAACTACTCACTGTTCTCTGTGTTTTCTTGCTTCTGTGCCTCTATGTTGTTCCTTTTGCCTGGAATGCCCATCTTTATAACTATAGGTCCAACCTTCAGTCAGAAACAATTTCTTCATGATGACAACATGGTGTAGTGGAGTGACATGAAAATATTTATCAAAAGACCTGGCTTCAAGTCTTGGATTTGCCAGCTACTAACTATGTGATCCAGGAAGTCTTGATTTTAAAAATCTGTAAAATGAGGAATATCTCCCTCACAAGGTTGTTGTGAAATGCTTTATAAAAAATGTTACTTTTCCAGTGTATTATCATAGCTCTCCATCCGTATCTCCTTTACATCACTTTCTATCTCATACTATGGTTACTCAGAAACATTTCTCTTCTCTTAGAAGGTATTTTTTAAAATATCTTTTCACAAAGTCGAACACAATGCCTTCAATATTTTAATGTATTTGTGGAACACCCCACTACTATTTTCACAACTTAAGATTCTAACATTTTTAAATCTAATGAGTGATGGCTGCAGATGAAAGCTGTGTTCCATACAAACCATGACTGCTGACCAATAATATTATCTTAAAAAAAAAATGGAAAACATGCAAGTAATACTGACTGAAAAATTTACATACTAGATAAAAAATCATTGTCTGGAGATGCTGACAGGGACTTTGAGGCTCTACTAGAATCACTACTTTCATGGGGTTGAGAGGATCCACACGATTCCTAAAGTAAAGAGAAGATAAATTATTTAGATTAATAGAAAATCATTTTTAAAGATACATAGCTTTAATTTCTAAATAGTTCTTGATTTTGGTTTACTATAAAAAAGAATAAAAACTATTACAATTTATACCTTATAAAATTAAAGAAACACCTATATAAAACAAATCTTATATATTCTTAGGAGAAATTATTAATTTGAAATATGAATGAATGCTACTAAAGAAATCTTTCCTGGGCACCTGGGTAGCTCAGTTGGTTAAGCGACTGCCTTTGGCTCAGGTCATGATCCTGGAGTCCCAGGATCAAGTCCCACATCGGGCTCCCTGCTCAGCAGGGAGTCTGCTTCTCCCTCTGACCCTCTTCCTTCTCGTGCTCTTGATCTCTCATTCTCTCTCAAATAAATAAAAAATCTTTAAAAAAAAAAAGAAATCTTTCCTTTTAGATAGCCACGGAAATGGCATTTTGCCTTTCATTAATCATTGTAAGAGGTAAGGACAAAGCAGTATTATAGCTAGTTTACATTTGGATAAGAAGGCATAAATATAATGGTAAAAATGTAATCAATGATTTGCCTATGGACACATTGGAACACCATTCATTATATGAAACAATGACAGGGACTAAAGTTAATGGCAAACAAAGAAGCAAGGACTATGTATGATTCAACGAAATGAACAGTGGCATGAAAATTAGGAGTGTTGGAGTCTGAAATGGAGATTGCCACTGGCTACCTAATAAATCTTAAAATCTCCTGGGGCTTTAGCTTCCCACATATAAAGGAAGGAATTAAGACTAAATGATTTTTCATTTTCTGCTCATATTTTGAGTTTATCAACATAATTTTTTTACCTCCTGTGGTCCATGAGTTACAGGTATGTTCAGAGATGACTCCATTTTCTTCTTGTCACATAAGTGAATAGTGCTCGAAGCACTCTGTAACTGGAATGAATGCATATATGTCCTTTAGTTGAAGGTGACTAGGAAATTATGTAAAATACAATCTGCTTAACATACTTTATATGTTTATACAGAATCAGTGGAAAGTAAAGTTAAATCATTTAAGGATATAAATATATAACCTAAAGGTAATAACTAGAGAAACAAACTTTGAATCCTGCCTCGTATCATTTGGTTACCTTGAGCAAATTTATCTTTAAAGATGGACTAATATTGGGGATGCCTGGGTAGCTCAGTTGGTTAAGCATCTTCCTTCAGTTCAGGTCCTGATTCCAGGGTCTTGGGACGGAGACCCGCTTTGAGCTCCCTGCCCAGCTGGGCGTCTACTCCTCCCTCTCCCTCTGCCCCACCCCCCAACTTGTGCTCTCTCTCTCTCACTTGCTCTCTAATAAATAAATAAAATCTAAAAAAAAAAGATGGACTAATACCTACATGCAGGATTGTTTAAGAGATTAAGTGAGATAATGAACAGAAGGTATAAACTAGGTACTTAATAAATTTCAATTTGTGTAAGTATATGTATCTATGTATCTACCATAATTTTTAAGTATTTACTGTATTTTAGGCACTGTGCTGGTAAGTACAAGTATTATTTTCATTTTACGGATAAGAAACTGAGGGCTAAAGTAAAGGATACAGAGTGTCCTAATGGAATGATGGGGATCATGTAGCCAGTCAGGTCTGATTTAGAATCCCAGGATACTTAACTAATTGGATTTTAGGCATGAGACTTACTCTCAGTTTACCAATCTGTAAACTGGAGATAAGAATACCTATTTTGCAGGATTATTGTAAGGAGGATTATAAACAAAAAAAGTCCTAAGATTACTTAGTAAGCGTTCAATACATGCTAGCTATTGAGCAGATGATTTATTTATATGCTAAATCTCTGTATTAAAATCATTTAGTGATTTACTCCCATCTCTATAAACCAGTAGGATTAGCTGCCATCATTAGTGAGTGATTTAAAAAACAAACCTGTTAGTATGCTTCTCTTCTCCAAACCAACATAATGTCAACTGCTCTACAGAACTTTAGAAATTGGTGGGTACTACACCCAGCCCTCCATTATTCATACCTATGACTGTCTGCTCCATTACACGGGTAAGGAATTTTAGAAAAAAACCACTATTCATCTGTATATATAATCCACCCAGCATAGTATTTTGCACAAAGCAGTCCAATGAACATTTGTTAAATACCTTTTTATGTGAACCTTTAGAATTATTCCTTGGATCTGTCTCTGTTATATAAGTTTTTCTGTGTTTTTAAATTTATTGAAACATTTCTGATAATGCAATATCCTTGAATTAATAACATCATTTCTCATAACTGATGTTATGATAATTCAAATTATTTATTGACTAGTAAATCAACCCTTAGAAAGAAATGAAATGGAATATTAAGGAAAAACTTCGTTTGGTTCAGTTTTTACTTTTTAAGATATAGGAAAGGCTATCTGTGAAAACATGATTTATGGGACCTGGTTCAAAGAACTGAAAAAAATGTAGGAACATCAAACAAAACAAGTCACCCTAACTGGTGGTCTTTGTTTTCAGAAATCCCTCCCTCCCTCCCTCTTTTCCTTTCTTTTTTTAAAAGATTTTATCTATTTATTTAAAAGACAGCATGAGCACGGGGTGGGGGGCAGTAAGAGCAGAGAGAGGGAAAAGCAGGCTCCCCGCTGAGCAGGGAGCCTGATGCCAGCTTGATCTCAGGACTCTGGGATCATGACCTGAGCCGAAGGTGGACGCTTAACTGACTGAGCCACTCAGGAGCCCCAGGTTTTCAGAAATTTCTTTCTTTTTTTTTTTTTAAAGATTTTATTTATTTATTTATTTGAGAGAGCGAGCATGCGTGCATGCTTAAGTAGGACGGGCAGAGGGAGAGGGAGAGAACCTGGAGCAGACTCTGCATTGAGTACGAAGCCTGATGTGGGGCTTGATTTCATGACCCTGAGATCACAACCTGAGCCAAAATCAAGAGTCAGGAGCTTAACTGACTGAGCCACCCAGGTGCCCCTAGAAGTTTTCTGATGAAGAATCTTATCAAATTTGTATGCTACTCTTGGTCCTGCCATTAGCTAGCTGTGTAGAGTGTTGTGTAACTTTCCTATCCCTCAGTGTCTTACCCATAAATAGAGACGATATTCTTCCCCTACCAGTTTCACAGAATTGATAAAGAATATTTTTAAATAGAAAAAAATACTAAAATTCTGAGTAAAAACAATATAGCTACTTAAGAACAACAAAGAAAGTAATGCTTTTTTTAGTAATTTAGCAATGTTATTATTAAATGGTATTCAGGTATTTGAAAATATGTACTTTATTTTATATAAAAAGCCTAAATTTCTCCTAAAAAATGAACAGTTTTAAATATAGATCGTAGTGTTTTGCAATGATGTGGATGGAGCTAGAAGGTATTATGCTAAGCAAAGTAAGTCAATCAGAGAAAGACAATTATCATATGATCTCATTGATATGTAGAATTTGAGAAACAAGGCAGAGGACCATAGGGGAAGAGAGGAAAAAATAAAACAAGAAGAAACCAGACAGGGAGACAAACCATAAGAGACTCTTAATCATAGGAAACAAACTAAGGGTTGCTGCAGGGGAGAGGGGTGAGGCAATGGGGTAACTGGATGATGGACATCAAGGAAGGCATGTGATATAATGAGTACTGGGTATTGTATAAGACTGATGAATCACAGACCTGCACCTCTGAAACCAATCATACATTATATGTTAATTAATTGAATTAAAATTTAAAAAAGTGAAAAAATATAGATCTGAGTGTTTAAGTTGTTTGGGGACAAAAAAAAAAAAAAAGAACTGGAATGGTTCTCTTCCACTTTATAACCAAGAGAACAAATTCTTCTATCCACCTTTGCTTGGGAGAAGAAGAGAAAGTTGTAAGGAGAGAAAAGAGAACTGAAAAGATAAAGCAAAAAAAAAAAAAAATTACAGAAGTTTGTAGCTACTAAGAAGTGGAGAGACTGGAACGTTCTAGAAAAGACTGTACCTACTCAGAAGCAGGAAGGTCAGTGAAAAGTTATCAAAAGAATGAAAACACAGTTCTCTAGTTCCTTAAAACACAGGCACTAATACTGCCACCATCAATTTTTAGTTTGGCTAAAGGTGGCTGTTTCTTCATGCATTTCCCTTTTAAACTAAAGGTTATGTCAAAAGATCCAGCAAACTGCAAGAGGCAATCAATGTCATTTAATGACACATAAACTGTAGACTATGCTTGTTTACAACTCAAGACTTTGGTTAATAACTGATTATTTTTATTATTATATCTCAGATGCAATTTAATGAAACTCAGCAAGTATTCAACTATGCTTACTTTGTCCCTAAAGGACTGTAGTTGCTTTTTATATTTATTTATTTATTTTTATTTTTTTAAAAAGATATTATGTATTTATTTGTCAGAGAGAGAGCACAAGCAGGGGGAGCTGCAGGCAGAGGGAAAAGGAGAAGTGATGCAGCACTCGATCCCAGGACGCTGGGATCATGACCTGAGCCGAAGGCAGACGCTTAACGACTGAGCAGCCCAGGGCCCCTGTAGTTGCTTTTTAAACAAATTTTGATAATATTAAGAAAACCTTGCAGTAATAGGTCCTTTCAATTGTTCTAATCTACAAATGCCAGAATGAGTAAATAAGACAATTGTTCTAAGTAATTCATATCAACTGTTACTTTGATTTATATAATATGGAGTTTTTGAGTGGGAAAACAAAAGAAAATAAAGCATTAAAACTATACCTTTTGGCTTCAATTATTGATACAATTCTATATCTTAACTTGGCAATAAATCTCAAAAAAAGCCCAAGAATATTGAATAAAAAGAAGTGTAAGAACCCAGACTTCTATTACTCTGTATATACTAAAACTTTAGGTTAAGAAATACAGGTTAAAAAATCCTAGTGATTTAGGGCATTCATTGTACATAACGGGCATTCATTACACATTTTAAGCTTACATTTGATATATGGGAGTTCTGGAAATGCCTCTGAAATCTAGAAGTGGCATTTGAATGAAATGGAAAAGCTCTTTGGTGACAGAGAAAACAGTATTCATAGTCTCTGTTAAACTGTAGCCTATATATGTGAAAAATATAGATAATAACTAAATTAAACTAAGCTGAAAATCTCCATGAATAATATATGATTGTTTTAAATTCAATTTCTACTATTTCATTTAGGAATTTACCTTTGTTTTCTTTAGCTGAATAACAGCTTCAAGAAAAGTTATCTCTTCAAATGTCCTCAGAACTGGTTCAAGTTCTATTAAACATTCTACATAAGAAAAAAAAATTGAGTTCAGATTGCTTTAATCATTAAACTACAAAATATAAATGCTAATATTTCACTGATAAGGCCCTAAGTCAATTTTTCCCCAAACTGATGACATTTAACCCTCTTAAGAGTCTTTATTATATGCATAAAGATAGAAATATACATCATGGGATGCACTTGAGAGTCTAAAAATAAACCCTTATAGTTATGGTTAATTGCTTTTTGACAAAGTTGTTGAGGCAATTCAACAGGAAAAGGATCATCTTTTCAACAAATGGTGCTAGGACAGCTGGATATCCACATAAAAAAAGACAAATTTAGACTCTTACCTAAAACCATACATAGAATTAACCTGAAATGGATCATGCACTTAAATGTAAATATAGGAGAAAATATTCATGACCTTGGGTTAGGCAAAGAATTTTTAGATATGACATTAAAAACAGGATCCATAAAGAATTTTGATAAACGCACTTCAAAAAAATTGAAAGCTTTTGCACTTCAAAAAGCTGCTATTAAGAAAAATGAAGACAAGCCCCAGACTGGGAGGACATTTTTTCCTATCATGTATCTGCTAAAGGACTTATATCTAGAATATATAAAGAACTCTGACAATAATAAGACAGATAACCACATTTAAGAATGGGAATATAACATGATGCAGCCATTTTGGAAAACATTTAGGAGTTTCTTAAAAATGAAAGATAAATTTACCATACAACCCAGCAATTCAACTCACTGATAGCAATCTAAGAGAAATGAAAACATGTTCACACAAAGACTTGCATATGAACAGCCATAGCAGCATTATTCATAATAGCCAACAAATGGAAATAATCATAATTACTACTACAACTACTACATAATATATGAACTTATTGCTGAAAGGAGAGGTCAGGGCTCCAGATATAAAACTGAGCATCACTAACATATGGATGGTATATAAAGCCATGGTCTGGACCGGATTATCTAGGGGGTGAACAGAGATAGGATACAGATAGTAAAGGGCCCATGTTAGAGCTCTGAGGCACTCCAACAGTTCGAAATTGAGTAGAGGAAGAGAAAGAGATTGAGGAAGAGAGGATACTAAATTGTGTAGCCTCTTGTGTCTTGAAGCCACCAGAAAGAAAGTTTCAAGGAAGGAACAGCTAGTTAGTCATGTCTAATCTGCCAAGAAGCCAAGTAAGGTAAGCAGGATTCTCTAACATTGCCATCCTTGGTAACCCCAACAATGTAGCTTTAGTGGAGATATGAAAACAGAAGACTGATAGAAGTTTGTTAAAAACTGAATTAGAGGGAAAGAAGCAGAGACAACAAGTATGGACAATTCCTACAAGGTGTTTAGATTTGAATGGGAGCCAAAAAATGAGGTGGTACCTAAAGTCAACATATGAAGTTGAGCTTTTTTTTCTATATAAAAATAGGGGATAATAATGGAATATATCTGTGTGATAGCTGAATGATCCAGTAGACAGGTTGAGATTGGCACTGCCAGAGTAGAGCAAGAATATAAAGGAACAGAAGCTGGAGAGGGCTTGGGAATGGTATCCAGAGCACAAGTGATACATTTACATTTGTCTAAGTATATGGATACTTTTTTCCCCTGTAAAAGAGATAAGGCAGGAAAGATGGATACAAGTACAACAAGATTGTAGATGTGGCAGTGGATCTATGAGGCAGTAGTGCTCTCTCATGGTTTCTCTTTTCTTAATGTAGTGTGAGAACAGATGATCAGCTCAAAGGAAAGATGGAGCATGAAGTGCTGGAGGTTTAAGAAGGGAGGCTAAGGTATTAACCACTGTCTTCTTTTCCTAAGCTCAGAATCTATCAAGAAAAGCCACAGAATAATGATAAATGATGATCAAAGTATCAACCTTTATTACTGATAAAGATAACTGGAGAATTTACCTTTAGATCTGTAGCCAATGGGCTTGGAAAGAGTTCACAGCTTTACTCAGCCACAGGCCTCATCTACTTCCACATGTGGGAGCAGAAAATGTATGCATCCTTTAGACAGGCTGACTTCTAAAAGAAGGAAAAAAACTGAGAAGGAACCAGATAAGCATGCTCAGTTTTTCTCCAAAATTAACAAATGAGGTAAGTCTGAGGAAGAGTGCTGAGGAGCACATAGAAGCTGGAAATGTTCTTTCTATACTTTCCTTCTTAGGGACTGAACTGGAATTTCATCTTCACTTTGGAAACATAAAGAATGGGCCTTAGGTATCTCCTACAATAGTACAAAATGATCATTGATATAAGGAAGCAATTCTCAAACTTTTAGGTCTTGGGATTCTTCAAAATTATTGACACTCCAAAATAGCTTTTGTACGTTTGTGTCATATCTATTGATATTTACTATATTACAAATTAAAACTGAGAAAAATTTAAGACATCAGAATATATATGTGAGAACACATTCCATTATTTGTTGGAGCAATGAAACCATCATACCTCATTTAGCCTTTGGAAAAATCCACTATATACTCATGAGAGAATGAGAATTAAAAAAAAAAAATCTTAGTATTTATTATTTTGGTGAAAAGTTTTGATTTTGTGAATTCTTCTGAAAGTCTCAGGGACCAACCACCCCAGGGGCCCTTGTACACACCTTTAGAACAGTTGATCTATGAAAATGGAATAGTACATGTTTTTGAGAAGCATAACAGAATTGCTAAGTAGTGTTTAGTGTCCAATTCTGGCCATTAATTAATTAATTTTAAAGATCTTATTTATTTGAGAGAAAGAGAGAGTGAACGTGCATGAGCAGGGGGAGGGGCAGAGGGAGAAGCAGACTCCCCACTGATCAGGGAGCCCTAAGCACCAATCCTAGCACCCAGGGATCATGACCTGAGCTGAAGGCAGATACTTAACGCTTAACCAACTGAGCCACCTAGGTGCCCTGGCCATTAATTTAAAGAGAAACCAATAACTCCTACTTCTGGCCAAGATGGAGCAACAGGGTTTGATTTGCCACTCTGCCTAAAACAACCAAAAAAGCCAGAGAAAATTCATGAAACAGTGGTTTTCAAGATACTAGATACCAGACAACAAAGGACAGTGATCACTGAGATGGGAAACAAATCAGGTGAGCCTTATTATTGCCCACGCTTCCTGTGTTGAGAGTTTCTAGCTGCAGCTTAAGAGGGAAGTGAGGTGGAACCTCACTTCTCAATTGACTGGAAACTTAATTGAAGAGATGGGGTTGAAAGTCTGGGTAGACCAAGGCAGAGAGAGTTCATAGGGCAGTACCAGAGAGGGGAGACATACAGAGAGAGAGCTCTGTGATCTGCAGAAGGCTCCTTTAAGTATTCAGCAAAAGTCTTTAAAGAACAATAGGGAAAAACCACGAAGTCTGTAAAGTATGGCCTAATGGTATGATCTGCAGAGAAGCTGGAATTTTTAGAGAATGGAAAAGAAATGAATATTTGGAAGTGGCACTGGGGACAAAGGAGATATATATCCTCCCACATAGCTCTGGGAAATAAATAAAATGTGAATCCATTACAAGCAACTTTTGATTTTTTTTAAATATAGTACTAATGAGCATTGGACACAAATTTTGAATAAAAAATATATTTCACTGCTTTTTTAGTTAGAAAGATGATTCCCCAGTCTGTGGCTTATCTTTTCACTTTTTCTTAATAGCACCTTTTGAAGTGCAAAAATTTTCAGTTTTTTCAAAGCTCAATTATCATTTTTTTATGGATCTTGTTTTTGATGTCATATATAAGAGCTCTTTGATTAACAGAAGATCATAAAAACTTTCTCCTGTATTTACATTTAGATGATGATCCGTTCTACCTCTGAAATAAATCTTAATTCTATCTAATTTGTCTATCATGGATCACCTTAATAAACTCTTGCTAGAGTCTCCTAGGTGGTCTCTTTGCTTCCATGCCTACCCTTCTCCAGTCAATTTTCCACACAGCAACAAGAGTGATCTCCCCAAAACTTAAATTAGATGTCATTTCCATACAAAACACACTTTAATGGTGTTCCATTGTACTTGGAATAAATTTCTAGCCTTTTAATGACAGCCAAAACCCCTCCTTATCTCTCCAATCTCATCTCATAAAATAAAAACAGCAACTGAATTAAAAAAAAAAACTTTAAGCTTGCCATCTAACTTGTGTGATTTTTCAAGGAACATTTTATTCACAGTATATTTACTATTTTTGTAATTCAAAAGGTCCATACTAAAACTGTACACTCACTTAAGAAAGATGGTCTTTCATCTGGATTTTGCGCCCATCCACTTTCTATTAGAGAGATCATAAGTGCTCGATGAGGTATATCAAGTGGCAAACTTTCTTCATTAGTGTTAGGTCGATGTCCTTGTGATACACTATACATGATCTGCAAAGGATTGGTGACTTCTGTCAAAACAAATATATTTCATTCATTAGAAATATATTATGATTTACTACATTAATTAAATACATTCTAAAGTCAACCAAATGAAAATGAGGGAAACTTAAAATCATAGGAATAATGCATTACCCCCCTTTCTGTTAAAAACACATATATACACATATATATCCCAGCCAGTGACAGATTCGTCTGCCTCCTGTGGTATTTATAGCCTCAGCTCACCACATTAATTTTAAGCTTGGTCATCTGATTTGGCCAATGGAACAAGAATAGAGCAGAGCTCGGCAGAATTGAGTGGAACCTAGCACAGCCAAGGATGGCCACTCACACCTAATGTGAATGAGGAACATATACTTATTTTGTAAGCTACTGAGATTCTGAGGTTGCTACACAGAAAGCTGACCCATACAATCCTCAAAATAAAGAAATGGACAATGTTATCAGAAAACTTAAAAGTTATTCTTTAAAGTTTGTTATAGAAGGAGCACTAATTAAATTTTCAAATAAAGAGTTTTAGAACTGGAATGAATCTTAGAATTCAAAATTTCCATTTTGCAAATTAAAAAGAAATGAAGACTCACGGGATTTAGTGGCTTGATTACAGAGCTAATTACTGTCAGAACAAGAATCAGAATCTACATTTTTCTGACCCTTAATCCAGTACAGTTTCCAATATACAGTGGATTCAGAATTGATAAATTGTTATGTTTTTATAGTGTGTTTTCCAAAAAATGAATGGTAGGCAGATTTAAAATAAGATGGGCTTTATTTAGATAGTTCTGAATATGGCCTACCAACATGCTGTCATCTAGAATAAGAAAGTGAAAGTACACTTACCTTCAAAAGGCTGTTTTCTGGATAAGACTTCCCATGTGATCACTGCATAGCTTTTAAAGATAAAAATATACATACAGGACATTATAAACTAACTATGAACAATAAACTAAAATAGTACTGATTTTAAAAGCTGACTGTGGAGATATCGTTTTTGCAAGTAATAAGGTAGGGAAATGCTATATAAAGAATCACCATAATCAAAATGATGAATGTTTATATACAGTTTTGTTCTGAAAGGGAACTAATCTAATTTGAAAAATTAACAAATTACTGTAATAAAAAAATTTGGAGTTATAGGCAAGGATAACTTGTTGTGGATGATTCTTAATCACCTCTAATTACATGATTCTATTATTCACACAAAATAAAGAGCAATAAAAAAGATGATCTCATGTAGCCCTATTCCACTGACTTTTTTTCTGGTCGAAGTACTGTCTCCTTTGGTAGTGTTAAGTATTAACCACATTGTTTCCCTCCCTCCTCCATCAATGTCACATAAGATAAAAACCTTTTAGTACTATATTATAAATTGACAGAATAATATATAAATTTTTTTCAAGGATGTAAAAGTGGCTTAAAGCAAGGCATCTTTAATTTGAAAAATATTAACCATTGTGGTCTCTTACTTTATTTTCACCACACTTATGAGAGAAGACTAAAAATCACACTTTAAAATGTAGCTTCGGGGCACCTAGGTGGCTCAGTCAGTTAAGCGTCTGCCTTCAGCTCAGGTCATGATCCCAGGGTCCTGGGATGGAGCCCCACATCCAGCTCCCTGCTCATTGGGGAGTCTGCTTATCCCTCTCCCTCTGCCTTTCCTCCTGCTCATGTTCTCTCTCTCAAATAAATAAAATCTTAAAAAAATTTTAAATTAAAATGTAGCTTCAAAATTCTGATTAATCTTGTTTTTAGACAAGGTTAACTCTGAGCAAAAATAACATATTATACCTATATATATCATGCTTGACACTGGCCCTTGATTTTTGTCCAGGTTCATAGTTCTCAGGTGGCATATAGATAATTGTCCCTCCTTCTGGTGAAGATTTACTAGTTCGTGATTGTGAGAGGGACATCATACGCCATTTTGATAAACCAAAATCTGCAATCTGTAAGGGAAAAGAATAAATAATTGAATTTAAAAATTTTTTCTTAAAAAAAAAAACAAGAACTGTCTTTGTTTATATTCATTGTATTTAAGTATGAGACCAGAGGAAGTGTTCTATATTAATATTTTATTTCTACATATACTATCAGTTTCTTAATACATTAAATTCTAGAGTGCTGAACCCAGTAACTCTAGAAGCAATATATACTGACTTGAAGTTCATGTCACAAATTTTAAAATGGAAACTGAGTTTTGAAAAATTAAACACAGTATTTTTTGTCTTAAATTCTGAATGAGCATATATGCCAAACACTACTTTTTAAGACAGGTAGTTTTACAGCATGTGGTTTCAAAATTGTCCTACACCTCACAGAACTGCTAAACTACTGGTATCTTACGATATCAATACGACTGCCACTGGGCATTGTTTGTGACTAAGGTTTATATGTTCTTATTTACAATGCCCTAAAAATAGTAACCTTAAATTCTGAAGCAAGTAAAATTCCAATATAGTATAGGTCAATATTACATGATTTATGCGTACCACTAAAAGAATCATATCTGTTGGCAACAGTCTATTTAGCATATAAAACATATTTATGTCCACGACAAGTACTGCCTAAAGAATTACTGGTGACATTCTGCACTTTTGATATATCCTTTACAGTTTTGCTTCACTTGTAAATTTTGTATAGATGTTATATAACATCTTATAACTCTATTTAAAGGTTTCCTTAAAAAATGGAAGACAAAATATAAGAACAAAACAGTATTTAATGGACAAAAGGGTGTAGTGAATCTTTAAAAACATTTAATTTAAATTATTTAGATCTTCACACTGCATAAGTTAGAGCCACCAGAGGGAAATGAATTCTATCAAGCACACCATTTGTGTTTCAATTATTTAACTCATACACTTTTACTAATTTTAATAGAAAAAATTTGTTCAGTGTTTAGATGAATTTGATATTAAAAAACATTACATTTAAGGAGGGGGCAGACTATATGAATTTTTTCATACATTATTAAAATAAAAGGGTAAGTCTAAGAAAAAAAATAGAAAAGACCAAGAGAAAACATGGTGCCAATACATGAAGAGCTAAGCTGGATTGATTCTGAAAGGCAATATACCACGTGGCTAAGAACATGGGTTCTAGAGCCTAAGGTTAAATTACATTTATATTCCAATTCTACCACTTAATTGTGTGTGAACTTGAAGTTTTTAAAGTTTTCTGTGCCTCTGTGTGATTACCCACCTGCAAACTGGGGATAATAACACTATTATCACAGGGTTGTAGTGAGAAAATTAAATAACTTATTCTAAGCAAAGCATTCAAAACATTATCACATAATAAGTGTTCCATATGTGTTAATATTATTGTTTTATATACAGGTTGCTCTTATTCAATACAATCTGTTCTTCCCACCTACCCTCTAAAACCAAAAAAAACAGCACTCCAGTTGCACATTTGCTAGAATAATAAGCATTACTATGATAAATAGAGTTTATTTTTATGCCACAAGTGAAAAATGTTTATTTATTTATCTGAGAGAGAGAGAGAGAAAGAGAGAGCACAGGAGTGATAGCACAAGTGGAGAGGAGGGAAGGGCAGAGGGAGAGGGAGAAGCAGGCTCCCCACTGAGCAAGGAGCCCAATGTGAGGCTCCATCCCAGGACCCCGGGATCATGTCCTGAGCCGAAGGCAGACACTCAACTGACTGAGCCACCCAGGTGCCCCCAAAAGTGAAAAATGCTAAAAAAAAAAAAAAAAAACCTGAGACGTGGTCTCACCTTATACCTGAACTATAATTTGCAAATTCCTGGGCTAAATGTTGGTTTGAATACAGTGTTGTAGAAAATGTATTCCTGAGTTTGCTTCCTTATGTGCTCCTTCACCTAAGATCTTCATCTTTATTTTCAAACCTGACCTAAAAACCTTAATCAGAATTCTATGAGCTGATTTAGTCTGGTTTTCACATGGAACTATAATTCTCCCCTTTCTCTGTTACAAATAATACCATTATGAAAGGCATGACTCATTAAATCTGGATCTTCAACAGAAGAATAAAAGTGAATAATGTGAGGGAAGGAATATGAATGCCACGATTTCTTGAAGGTCTTGATAAATTTATCATTCAGCCATGAAGACAGAGAATAAGAACTTTCCCATTCTACACAAGATCTTAATATGCATTTCGAAGCTAAGGGCTTTCTTTTTAACTAAAAAGATGATTTTAAAAATTAGAGGAAATTAAAACACACTACTCATAAAAATCCACAATCCTCTCACCCTAGTAGAATAGCTATTTTCATTTACATATACTATCCATATCTATAAAACTATAAAGTTATCATCAGTAAGAAGTTACGAAGAATAACCCTGAAGTATTCTGGTTTCCACACTGGACTGAGAGAATAGCAGAGAAAGCAAATATGGCACATATAAATATTTTCATTTCAAAGAAGCCTATTACTAGTTCATTTGTATCTAAGGTGCGCTAATGGACACGTGGCAGATAACCAAACTAATGTATCCTTTTTAAAGTAGAAAAGTCTCAGTTGACCTTAATCAGTAGTAAACATTTTTCTTTCAGATACTATGTTTCTGGTCAGCATTCCAGTGAGATAACTTCAGAAAATGGTAGCAAGGTGTAAATTTCCATTTAATTTCATTAAGTATTTTTAAAGATATTTTGCACTTCATTTAAAGGCCTTTCCAAGAAGATAGGTAGATTAAATAACTGTTACTTTTTCATGAGTCAGTGATGAACTTTGACTTTTAACGGACATTTATAAAGTACAAAGTAGAGACACATAAGATGCATGTAAAAGAATGTCGCTAATTTGTAAGAATAGTATTAGAAAGGTCACAGCTCTGTATGTACTAAATTAATAAAAATTATAAAAACTACACCTAGCCAAACTATTCTAAATTTTATTCATATCAAAGAAAGTCCAAGGACACCCTGTTGATCAGTGAAAACAAGAAAGTAAGAATCATTACCTATTACTTTGCTTCTGTTTACTCTGCTAAGTATAGTTTCCAGACTGAGATGAAGAAAGTATAGTCCAAGGACACTGAAAGGTTTAAAAAGTGCAAATCTCAGGTTATTTTATATATATTTCAGGTTATTGAGAATACTTGCAAATATCTCCATGGTGCTATCAGCGTTCTTTGTGGGACAGAATGGAGAGGTACTACAGGATATGAGAAAAATAAATGCCATTCTGACTTTCAAAAAGGAAAGAAAATGTTGATTTTGCAAATCTACTTATTGGTGGACACTATCCTTAATCCCTGCTTTAAAAATTTAGAAAATTTAATAAAAGGGATACCAGCAAGAATTCATGAAAAACAAATCATATCAGACCAGTGGTCAGTTTCAGGTCTCACATGCTATATCCCAAGTCCTTGGCACAATGCCACTGCTGCTCCATAAATGTTTACTGACTAAAATTATGACCAATTTCATTTCCTTTTTTGACAATAGTACTGTCAAAGAGTAAATGTTAAAACAGTTTGCATATTATAAAACACTTTATATTTTATAATAACATGCTTGACTATTAAGTTATCAGGCCTATCCATATATTATAGAAGATCTGGAATTCATTCATTTGTTTATTCAACAAATACTTAGTTAATGCTTCAATATGGCAACTGCTGAGCAGGTGGCAGTTTAATAAAATAGACTAAATTTCAGTCTTCATGGAGTTTATTTTCTAATTGGGGGAGACAGTCAATAAACATATTAATAAAAATATGACAGATGGTGAAAAATAATATGCAGAAGCATAAATCAAGGTGCAAAGGCACAGAGGAACTGGGTAGGTCATCAGGGAAAGCCATTCTAAAGAAGGTGAGGGAATAAGCCAGGAGGACACCTGGGAAACTAGTCAAGCAAGGACTCCTGATGATATTCTCAAGGAAAAAAATGGAGAAATATGTAAAACAGTTCTGCACAAAGTAGTCCACACAAAATTAATGATTAGTCTCCAAAAGTGCTAATTAAGGATTGATACTGACCTGGAAGGAGGTTCTAAGCACCATGTTGTGAGGCTCTGATCTGAGCTCTGTACTGGTTAATATTTAATCATGACTTAAAGATACAAAAACTAGCTAATTAAATCTGAGGATGACATAAAGCTGGGAGACAAAGTTAAAACCCTTGAGCTACAGAAATAATGCTGAAAAAGATCTTAAGAGGTGGAAGTGATCGCTCAAATCTAACAAAATAAACTTTGATGATGTCCAGAAAGTATTCTGCAAAGTACACGATAAGGAGATGTGGCTTAAGCAGTAATACCTAAACAAAAGAACCTCTCAGGGCTTGTTGATGCTAAGCCCAATTTAAACGTTGTGAAACGATCACCCCCCAAAAGCCAATGATTCATTAATTATTAAACAAAGTGCTTAGGGACCAGGGAAATGACACTTCCATTCAAGTCTATATTCATAAGGTCACAAGGAGTATTTTGTTTCATTGTGAGGATAAAAATTTAACAGAGATTTAAACACAGAAGCATCTGGATAGAACCTGTGATTAAAAGCAATGTAATAAGGAAGCTGGTTGAAAGAACTAAGGATGTTCAGAACACAGAAGAACAAAACACAAGTGTATGTCAGGGGCAGGGGGATTATAGCCATCTGTAAACATTGAGAGGGCTGTCATATGGGAAGTAGAATTGGACTTATTCAGTTTATCACAAAGAATAGAACTAGGACCCATGGATGAAAACAAATGGAAGGCATTTTGATTAATCATATAAGAAAATGTCACAGTCATTTAAGTATGGAGATTAAGATTCCCCTGTCATAGACTAACTGCCTTGGGAGATAAGGGACTATTATAGTGAGGATCCAGACTTGAATGGACTTGCTGACCATTAAGGCACTTCTACCTGTGTGGTTTCATAGCTGATGTAATAGATTAGTTTCTTTTTTTAGTAGTACTGAGATGGCAGCTTGCTTCTTTTCCTTTCCCCTCCCATTTTATTCTAGGGAGAGGAAGTGCCTTTAACAGAGGTTTTGTTTTTTATTTAACTTTTCTCACATTTTTTGTATTAATTTTTCTATTGTTCCAACTTCCCTGTTATTTTTTCTTTGAACATTTTTTGATATTTACAGTAATCTCTAATTACATATATTATTATAAGAAGTATAACAAAATAACATAAAAATAAAGTGAGTTACATTTAGTGTTAGTTACTTAGCAACTACTTTTTATTTGCTGTCATCAGTTAGATAGAGGGTAAACTATGAAATCACTACTACACCTGGTGCCTTTAGGCACCTAAATCTTATGACTTATACAAAAGTTAATTCAAAGTAGGTCCTAGATTTAAATGTAAAACATAAAACTCTAAAACTTTTAGAAGATAACATAGAAGAAAATCCTTAATACCTATGGCATGATAAAGGCTACTTAGATATGACAGCAAAGAATTATCATAAAGGAAAAAAAAACCCTGATAAATTGGACTTCATCAAAATTAAAAACTTCTCTTTGTGAAAGACCTTGTTAAAAGGATGAAAAGAACAAACCACCAAGTGGGAGAAAATATTTGCAAACTACATATCTGATGAAGGACTCATATTTAAAAATCTAAAGAACTCTCAAAACCCAGTAATAAAAATCCCAAAAGATCCAATTAGAAAATGGGCTTAAGACATGAAGAGACATTTCACTGAAAAGGATATAGATAGCAAATGAGAAAGTGTTCAACATCATTAGCCACTAGGAAAATGGAATTAAGACTATGATGAGCTATCACTATATACCTATTATCATGCTAAAATAAAAAACTGTGACAATACCAAATGCTGGTCAGGATATGGAAAAGCTGGGTCAATCATACATTGCTGGTAGGATGTACAAAGGTACAGCCCCTCAAAAATAGTTTGGTAGTTTCCTAAAAAACTAAACAAACCCTTACCCAGCAATTGCACTCCTAGACATTAGCTCTTGGTTATCTAGAGGAACAAAAACTTATGTTCATTCAAAAAGTTGCACAGGATTGTTCACAGGAGTTTTATTGTAACTGTCAAAGACTGGAAACAATATAAATACCTTTCAGTAGGTGAATGGTTAAACAATTTTGGTATACACATACCATGAAATACCATTTACCAATAAAAAAGAACCGCTATTGACATAAGCAACAACTTGGATGGATCTCAAAGGTATTATGCTAAGTAAACAATGTTAATCTCAAAATACCACATACTGTATGTTTCCATTTATACAACACTTTCAAAATGACAAAATCATAGAGATAGAGAACAGATTAGTGGTTGTCAGTGGTTAGGGATAGTGGAAGGGAGGAGATGAGTGTGAATACAAAGGGGTAGCATGAGTGATATATTTGTGATGATAGAACAGTGCTATATCTTGATTGCTGTGATGGTCACACATGTGATAAAGTAACACATAAACTATATACATGCACTGTACCAATGTCAAATTCCTGGGCTTGAAATTGTACTGTAATTACATGTAATGTAATCACTGGCAGAAACTGAGTGAAGGGTTCATGGACTCTCTTTGTATTATCTTTGCAACTTCCTGTGAATCTATAATAACTGCAAAATCAGAAGAAAAAAAAGGGCTTACTTGATCATTTCAATTAAGGACATAATGACTTTGTATTTTGTACCATAATTCTATTTATCTTTCAAGCCTAGGAATAACTAAGCCACTGAAGCTGGAAGAAGGGACACTGAAGAAAAGAATTATAGGCTATGGAAAACGGAAAGATATTAAATTGGTTGAGAAAAAAACACTAAAAAGTCTTTAAAACGATTAATCTCAAGGATGCAGATAAACTTTTTTTTAAGTAATTACCTTAACATGAAATTCATTATCCAATAAGATATTTTGAGTCTTCAAGTCATGATGAAGTAGAGGAGGATTCATATTGTGCAGGTAGTTTACACCCAGTGCAATTTCATGCAGGATGCGAAATCTCAGTGGCCAAGGAACATCAGGATATTCTGTTTTCTTCAGATATATGAAAATAAACAAAATGAAAATAAGTGACCATATTCATTACATTTCCACTTAGAAAATTAAATATTCTATGTGGAAATACAGTATAAACAAAAGTCAAGACATATGTTCATTTTTATTACATAGTATCACGGTACAATTTGATATTATTTAACATCCATGTATATCTTATTTTCCTCAGTTTTTAGAAAAAATAATGATGACTTTATAGTTCTGTTATTTCCTTTTAGTTTATGTTGGTAATACAACTACATGGTATTGGCTCTTCTTTCTTCATTTAAACAGTTTTCAATTTTTTTTTTTCTGTGTAATACCCAAACACATTACCTATACTCACACCTATCTCTCATTCTATGGTTTGTATCAAAAAACTACATGCACACACACACACACAAAATTTCTTCTTGGTACATACCATTAACTCAAAATTTATATTTTAATTTTCCTATTGATATAAAATCATACCTTATTACAATAATCATTACATCAATTAAAATTATGACCATATTATATTTATTTACTAAGCATGAATTTCTCATACTTCTTATCATACAATTTTTGTATTCTAGATTGAAAAATTAGCCTTTGGAAGTTTTGCTTTTGTGAAAGAGACAAAGATCATCTTCATTTTTAAGTGTATGCAATACAGACATATTTAAAATATAATGTTTTATATATCTTGGTACTTACAAGTGATATTCATCTGAACTTTTTGAACATAAAAGTTAGTGTAGCTTCCTAGGAGAATGAACATACTCAGAAAAATTAGATAATTTGGGAAGATCTGGCAATGAATCACCAGGCACCAAGCTACTGGATACATTCTAAATGACATGAAAAAGTATGCTTTTACTGAAAGCTCAAATCTGTTCTTGAGAATTTTTTCTGCAAATGGGTAAGTGTATAGCTCTTTGATTAACCAGCTGTTTACATTCTATTTTGATTTTTTTTTAACAATCTTCTTTGAGGTTGGGGGAGAGTACTTCAAGATAAATCCCGCTCTAATAATACAACAAAGAAAACCAAAAGAAACATAAGACATTACTTCCTCTGGTATACACAGACCTCCATCCCAGTGAGTAACTGAATCTTTTAGTCTGTAAAAAGGTAATTTTCTTCTGAAAATTATGTAGTTCAAAGGAGTCACAAGGCCTCTGTGCAGTATAGTATCACATGGAGGCTTTTGATCATGGAGACAGAGGTAGAACACTCACTCTATATGTTATGATTCCTTCTAGGAGTTGGCAGTCCCCTGAAGGAGGCTCTATAATTTCTAATGGGTTCCAATTTTGGGTATCAGAGTATCTAATGGCTACTGGAGTGTGGGAAGAAAATATTAGAATTTATACTTATATTCATTTTTTTAAAAAGGAAATTGTGCTTAAGTAATATTTATATCAATTGCTGTGTTGTTATACAAATATTATACACAGACACCAGTTATCGTACTCTGTCCTTGTCTCAGATGGTCCCGTCATAAATAGAAAGTGATTATCTGCTGAAATAAAGACGAAGTCACTCCATGAGTGGCATCCATTCTCTCGTTTGCTTACAGAACGTTGTGATGTATCAGACTTTAGGAGCATCCACTAATTGGAATTTATAGATCATGTTACCAGATTTTAACTAAACCAACACTCACAAAACAGACCGAGTGATTTTATTTTTATTTATTTATTTATTTATTTTATTTATTTTAAAGATTTTTATTTATTTATTTGAGAGAGCGAGAAACAGCATGAGAGGGGAGAGGGTCAGAGGGAGAAGCAGGCTCCCTGCTGAGCCGGGAGCCCGATGTGGGACTCGATCCTAGGACTCCGGGATCATGACCTGAGCCGAAGGCAGTCGCTTAACCAACTGAGCCACCCAGGCGCCCAGAGACCCAGTGATTTTAAAAAAAGATTTCTCAACAGAAACTGCAGGTTGCAGATAGTATTAATAATATAAGATCAAGCAAACAATAGATGAATACATACAGTTTGAGACTAAGGATTCACAAATTTGCTTACTGATAAGAATGAGGACCCACCCCTCCAGTTTGCTTACTGATGGGATTCACAATCAAAGCCAGAGTAACTAGTACATTGATAAAAAGGTAAATGGCTCATGCCTTTGTCTATTATTGGAAAAACCGATGTATTTGGTACTCAGAGACAGACTTATTTGGCCTATTTAGAACTTTATGGATGGGTATTATTAACATTTAATTTGAATCCTAAATTGTTTTTAAGATAAAATAAAATCTGGCTTAACTAACAGGAGGTTATATAGTGTACAGAGTTTATCTGTTCTCTCCCCCTCTCCTACCTCTGTATATACACATGTGGTTACTGGAATTCAGTTACACCTCAGGAACAGTAACCTAAGCAAAATAACCTCAGTCCTGCAGAATGTAGGGCCTGACTCTCTGATACTTTTAACAACACAAAAGAAGCCATAACTTGTCTAACTTTACCAATGTAATTGTTTTCCATTATTCTTATTTTGACTCATCTACAGCTCTCCAAATAATCCGATCATATGTAAAACCAAAACACTAGATAGCTTGAATAACAGAATGATAGCTACTAAAAATGCACAATACTTACCCTATGTAGGAGTTCATTTAATGATCCATTTGGCATGTATTCCGTAACTATTCCCAAAAATTCAGGCTCATTGCAAATTCCCAAAATTGGAAGAATGTAACTAAATCTAGCTTTGTGTAAAATTTCAGCTTCTCTTAAAACATCATTTCTTTCACTAAAGAAAGAAAATGCGTAATTATTTCAAAGTAATGAAAAATACACAATAATCATGCCTATAACATTAGGACTAGATTTTTTCCCCCATTAATTGACCTCATGTAAATTATGCAACTTCTCTGTCCCTTAGTTTCTTCATATTTAAAGTAGGGATAATATCTGCCCTATACATTCCACAGGTCTGTTTAGAGTCCATAATAACTTCTCTGAGCCACTGACAGAAAAAAGTGCGATATACACAGGTTATTATTATTGTACTTTCCTAGGAAAGGAAAAGGACACAATATTTGAGTAAGTTTATAAAGTCTATTGATATTAGAATTATTGCTGTTTGAATTAAAGTTTATGTTGTATTAGATATTTGATTAGAATATTATATTAAATATCATGGTTGCATACCATGTGCATTTTTCCCAAATATTTAAATAATACATTTAAATGTTGTAGATTTAAATGACTAGACGGTAACAGTTGCATACGGGTCAAAAATGCTTAGAAATTATACAATGGAACTCAGGAAAAGAACACTTAGGACAGGTAAATGCTTATAACAGATCCCTGGGGCAACTCTGGATCCCAGGTTCATTTGCTTATTTATTCACAAAACAAATAAATACTGAACATTTATTATGAATGAAAACTATGCTCAACATTTTGGAAAATATAAAGATAAACATAGTCTGTGTCCTCAAGCTGCCAAGAAATTTTCTAAGAAAAATAAATACTCATTGTGATTTTGATTTGCATTTCCCTAATGATTAGTGATGTTGAAGACCATTTCATATATACCTATTGGCCATTTGGAGGTATTCTTTGGATGTGTTAATTATCTTGATCTTGGTAATCACTCCACAATGCATATGTCTATCAAATCATCATATAATTACATCATCATGTAATTATATATAAAGTGCAAATGTGCACTTTATATATAATTACATGTGTCAATTATTCCTCAATAAAGTTAAAAAAAGGAAAGCAAGTAAAAAAAAGAAAGAAAATGCATACTTAAAACATAAGGCAGAATGTGATAAGTACCATCATAAACAAATAAATAAGCAAGCAAGTTAAGTAAGTAAGCAAATGAATAAATAGAGAACTATGGGGAACTCAGAAAAAGAGTAAACTTTGGGCTAGGGGAGTTGACAGTCTTTAAAGAGGGATTTCAACTGTACTTTAAGGGAAGACAGAACATCAACCATTGGTAAAAGGGCCAAGATGGATATGGCCTCCAAGATGGGAGGACTTTTGCTTTTCTTTCTCATCTGTGTGTCCCTAAGACCTGAAAACAGGACCCGGCACTTGGTAGATATGTATCAAATGTATTCAAGGAAGTTACAGTGAAGGTTGTGTTTGGAAAATGGCAGATTGTTTAATATGAATCAGGATACCTAAAAGAGCATGTGAAAGGAATGAAGGTGAATAGGGTAGGCTAGAGCCTCATCTCCGAGCCCTAAAGCCAGGTGAGGGTATTTACATTCTATTTGGTAGTTAGCAAATTGTGATTGTAGGTTTTTGAGCAGGGTAATGACATGAGCAGAGCAAACTTTCTGGACAATTATCTGGGCAGAAGGATGTACAATCAGCAGAAATGGGCAGAGTTTGAAAGTCATGTGTTAGAATATTACAATACTAATTAAAGATGTGAAGCAATGAGAGTCTGAAACTATAAAGGTCACAGTGAAAATGGAAAGAAAAACACTAGCTGAATAGAATGCCCAGGTGGTGGTGACTACGGTAGACAAATTAAAGAAAAAAAAAAAAAGCAAGGGAATTGGAGATGTCACTGGTTTTTACCATAGACAGATGTGTTGGTAGCAGCAATAACAAAATAGAAACATTTCCAGAAGTTTATTGGGTAAGCAATGATGATTAGTTGGTGCTTAAACCACTCAAGCTCTGGATGAATGGCTGTTGAAATAAGAAAACAGACATTCCACATCAGACTATGAGGCTTGCTCTAAAAGCAAACAAAAGGCAAAATAAAGCAAAAAATCTTATTTATGTTCTGAATAGGTAATATATTTATATGTTTTAAAATTCAAGAGTTACAAGAGGACATAAAGTAAAAAGCTTTTTTCCTTCTCCCTGTTCTCAGCCACTTAATACTCTGTGAGGCAACCTATTATTCAGTTTATGAGACCTGTTTTAATTAAACTTATCTTCCCTAATTTGAAAGGTAAGAGATGGAGGTCAACAAGAACTACATCTTATTGTTTAGCACTCTTGCAGAGAGACAGAGGATGGACTTGAAGATTTCTGGATACACTGAGAAAAAAAAACTATAGAGAGAGCACGCTGAAGTCTCAGTGATACTTAATACACTTGTTCTTTCTCTCATTAAGAGTATCAGGCATTCTTCCTTCTACTGTGATCCTATTATGTGTCATACACTTTATATGTACTATCATCCAAAGACCAACCCTCTAAAGTTGGTTACCTTAACACCACTTTATATTGAGGGCACTGAGGCTCAGATAAATAATTTTCTAATAGGCCAACATTAAGTGGTAGGGTTGGAGTCAGATTTGAATTGCAGTTGTGGGACTCCAAAGCCTGTGTTCTCTCCATTCCACCGCTTGATCAGAGAAAGGAAAGGATCAAGGAAAGTTCTTGAAGTCAGATTTCAGGAAAATCGAGTAAGTGGCAAAACAGAAAAAGCCAAAAATAAATAGGTCTAAAATAGGTTTTATATTTTTAAAAACTAAAAGTTACAGTTTTCATAGGCATATCACCAAAATTACCCAACTCAAAATTTCAGTCACAAAACAGTTATGTCATCCACACAGTGTTTGAAAAACCAATCAGACTCATCCACACATAAACAGTCGGGAGATTGTTGGGGAAGGCCCACTCATTGGGGAGAAGTCAGGTTACGGAGAATGACTCACCAATCACTAAAATAAGAACACGTAACTGCACATAAACTTATTTTTCTTCCAGATGGTCTCAAAGAACAATGCAAACCTTTTCCACACCAGAGCCCAAGTCCATGCATTTATTATTCCCACTTTATGTGAGGAAATGGACACCCTGTGAGTCAACTGCATAGCCCTGTCCTATGCTGAGATTACAAGAATACCGCTAAGGTTAACATCTTAGGTAACAAAGTGGGAAAAAGAACCTGAGGCAGTAATGCCAGAGGGTTTAACTGGTCCTTATGACTTCTTGGACAACAGAATTTCCTACCAATTTACTGAAGAGTTTTAGGTTATGAAAACTGTTAATAAGAATAGAAAGGGAACCCCCTCTTCATTTCTTTGCTCCCAAATAGCACAAAACTTGGATAAATTAAAATCTTGAGAAGCAGCATCCAAAACAGGAAGATCAACTTGCTTTAGAATACCTAAAGGGTCCATTAGGGTTAGATATCCATAAATTTACAGAGCTGATTCTAAAATATTTTCAGTCTTTTTAACCAACCACCACCCTTCAAACTTGACTACATACACATACATACATTTGCCTAGCACTTGCTCCACAGAACTCAAGGTCCAGGTGAAACAGACACCACATCTTATCTATCACTAGATCTGGATTATGATATACAAAAAGTGGGAACAATCTCCACAAGTGTCTCAAATTTACTGTGAGATCTGGCCCACCCAAGCCTGATAGCAAGACAGCAAAGTAAAGCTACAGGCAGATGAAAGTCCAGTAACATTGGTAGAGCTGAAGCTGAGGGATTTATCTCACATTGGACACCAACAGCCTCTGACCAATCAGGCACCCAGCATGATGAATTCTGACATTAGATAGAGGGGGAGGAGAGGAGAGTGTTGCAATCATGGATGTTAACTCACTAAGGACTGAATGCAGGGCCTACTGGAAGGCAAATACACAAGACTAAATGACTAGACCCACTGACTAATACCTTCGATCCCAGGTCAATGGTACAGGAATGAAATGTTTTTCTGGAAACAGAAACTAATACTAACTTTCCCTTAAAACCTAGACAGTGCAGGGAAATTGTTCAGGATGTGAAAGACGTTCAAAATTTCTGGTCGTTTGTCTTCTGATTCAGCGTATTGTTAGCAAAATAATACACTTATCCTCTGGGGACAGGCTTCCCTGCGAGAGTGAGAAGAGAAACTAAAGCAAGTAGAGTTTGGTATCTCAACTTTCATGACCATACGTAATAAACCACAAACAAAACAAAAACAACCGCAGGCCTACACCGAAACACCCTGACTTTTGGTGTTCTGGAGAAAGGAAGTCCAGGAGTAAGAGGGACAGAGCAGGAGAGGGCGGTGGAGAGACGGGGTGAGCAGAGGAATGCGAGAGCTGCATCTCCAACGAAGCCAGTTCTCCCCACCACGCAAGCCCCGAGCCTTGAAGGGCTGCCCAGAGGTGACGAGGGGTGGGGCCGACCGCAAGTGTCGCCGCCGTTCGGGCTCTAGAGCCCGCTTGCTCGGGGCTGGTGTTCGGGGCTCCGCGGGGGTGCCCTACCTGTCGAGCATAGGGGTGTGGATATGCAGCTGCTTCACGGCCACCTGAACGCGCCAGTCTGCGTGGCGGGCGGACGACACGGTGCCCGACGCGCCGCGGCTCAGGTAGCGCAGGTCGGCGAGCTTGTGGCAGGGAATGGTGGGCAGGGCGCTGCAGATAGCCTCCCGGTTCATGGTCGCGGGCGGCGCGGGCTCTGAGGCCGCTGGCCGGCTCTGGGTGTGCCCGCCGCTTCGGCGGCTTCCGTGGCTCCTCGGCTGCGCTCGGGCGCCCGCACTCGCCTCCCCACCCCCGTGCCGGAGCCGGAGCACCCGGGCACTTCCCGCGGCGGGACACTAGGTCACGAGGCAGCCCATGGCCTCCGCGGCCCACGCCAGTCGTTGCTTTTCTGGAGTCAGAGCGGACTTTTCTGGGTATCGTAGTCAACTCTGCCGGGACTACGCGTCGAGGAGGAGCCTCCTCCCCCGACCTGGCCTTCCCAGGCGCACCAGCCACCAGAGCCGGGCAGTCCAAGCTCCTCCCTCCCCAAACTTCTCAGGTGACGTCAGCGGCAGACCCTGAGGCGGGGAGAGGGCCCCCGGCCCGCGGCCCTCGGGTCTGCGTTATGTGGTGCGGCCCCCACGCTCTGGGCGACACCCGCGGGGCTGGGGCGGGGGCTAGGGGTGGGGAAGGGAGCCAGGGACGCTCGTTTTGTCTTCTTTCCCCCCAACTTTCCAGGTTTGGGAAAGTTTTCTCTGAGGGGAAAAAAAAAGTTCCTTTCAGCAGCCTGGTGTCCGATTTTGGTCAACGTGCTCTCACACCAGGGAGGAATCTTCTCTGAGCCTCATAGTCGTGGGGGAGTCGCCAGACTCCAGGGGTGGCGGGGTGCGGGCGGGGACGCCGGATTACCGACTCCGCGCCTGCGCGAAACGCGCCGGTGAGGGGGTGGGCGTGGTGGTGACTTCGAGAGTTGGGCACTGATGAGCCCCGCGGGTCAGGTAGGGTGTAAATTCACCTGCCTACCTGGACTCCGATCATCCCTCACTTCCAGGTGCGTCAGGAGTGAGAGGTGGGTGATAAATCCTGTCAGAGGCTGACTCTGTTAACAAGCTCTGGTGTTTAGCTCCTGTTCCGTGCTCCTCTACTAGGGAGCTACTTTTCTCTCTCTTCTCTCTGGCGTCCATAACTATACGGAGATTGAAAAATAACTTTGAGAAGAGTCAGTCCCTCTGATTCCAGGTAAGACTGCAAAAATTTCTTTTTCATAGATCTGGGAGGAATGCATTTCATTTTTAACCAAAAACAACCAAACATCTTTCCGTTTTTTACCTTAGAACAAACACCTTTCTACTTGATTATTTTGTAGAGTGTGAGTGCAAATATTGTATACAATACTAAGTACATACTAGGCATTTTAATGAATTCTAAGGCTACAGTAATAAGGAATACCTGACTTGAATGGGGTGTTTTTGTCAGCAGAGAACAAATGTTTCCTATATCTTTGTGTTGCCTGAAATGAGAATAGCAATGTTATATTTTACAATACTGGGAAGTTGTGATGAAACACTGTATTTTAAAATTTTGATGATTTAAAATAAAATATTTAGTTTTAAAGATCTGGTCTGATACTCTGTGCTTTATTGCTTAATACGCTTTTTGCTACAAAAAGTGCTCAGAAAACTTTCCCCATTTATTCATTCATTCATCGTTCATTCATTCATTTAATTTTCCAGTCACTTAATAAACTAAGAGTTCCAGAAAAAGAACAAAAAATAGGAAGGGAGGAAATGATCAAAACAATAATTCAAGAAATTTTGGCAGGTTTGAAGGACAGGGGTCTCCATATTGAAAGGGCCACCAAGTACCGTCAGTGAATTAAAAAAGACCTGTATGTAAGCACATCCTTTAAAAAGGTCAGAACCCTAAGAACAAATAGAAGATTCTACAGGTTTTCAGAAGGAAGAAACAAGAATAAAGGGATGGGGATTAGAATGGCATTAGATTTCTCAACAATAACACTTTTATGCTAAAACACAGTGAAATGAAATTTCTTCAAATTCTAAAAGAGAGTAGCTTCCAACCTACAATTGTATAGTCAGCCAAACTATCAAGTATAAGGGCAGAATAAAAACATTTTCACATATACAAGGATGCAAATGTTTCTTTTCTTTCCATCCACCTTTTTCTTTTCTTTTTTTTTTTTTTTTGAAAGAAAGTGAGTGGAACATGTGCTCCAACAAAACATGGGAATAAATCAAGAAAGAGAAAGACATGGGATCCAGAAAACAGAACCAGGAGGATGTGAAGGTTTAAACCCCAGGATGCAGCAGAATTAGAGAGCAACCTTTTTTCACTGGAGCAGGGAGATGGCAGATTCCAAGGGAAAGACTCTAGTTAAAGTAATTGATTTTATACATTATCTAATTTTGAGTTTTGGGGAAATTATATTGATGTTTGATAGATCTAATGAAATGTGTGATAAAATTGGAGAGAAAACTTAAAAAATCTAAGTGAAAAGCAATTAAGTCTATGAGAAATAAAAATCATACAAAAACAGAAACAACATTTCTACAAACTGGTGATGGTGAAAAGGGTAAGACTTTTCAGAGCTTTTGTAATATCAGTATATTGTAAATCTCCAAGAAGGAGAGAGCATGAAGCATAGAACGCTATAAAATTTATATTTTAATTACAGTACTTAAAAAATAAGTAATATAAGCACATCTTTCAACATTTAAAAGTATAAAAGAGATAATCCCATGGGAAACTAGGCAGATGACCTAGACATCTCACAAAAGGGGCTATTTAAATAGCAAATAGCAAATGAAAGACTTAACGTGCTCAACACTGTTATCAGGGAACTACAAGTTAAAACCACAGTGTGATACCATTACACAAATACTAACTAAAAATTAAAAGACAGAATATACCAAGTGTGGGTGAGGATTTGTAGCAATTGGAACTCTCATACCCACTGCTGGTTGGAGTGTCAGTTGGTACAACCAATTTTGCAAACTGTAAAGCCGTTTCTATTAAAATTGTGGCTATGCAGATTCTATAACATCAATTCCTCCTTTAGGTATGTGAATATGTATATGCAAATGCTGGAGTATTCATAGCAGTGCTATCTATAATAGCTTCAAACTGGAAATTATCCAAATACCCATAAACTGTAGAATTGGGTAAATAAATTGTGGCACATTTACACAGTGGAACACTAAACAGCAATGAGACTGGACAGTGTACAACAATATTGGTGAATCACAGAAGTATAATGTTGGATAAAAAAATCAGACACAAAAGAGTATATATTTGTATGAGTCCGTTTCTATTAAGTGCAAAAAAACACTAATCTGTGCTTTTAGAAATCAGGATACTGACTTATCTTGTAGAGAGAAGGGTAGTGACTAGAAGGGGCATGATGAGACTTCTGGGGTGATAGTAATTTTCTGTTTCTTGATCTAGGACCTAGACTCTAGATGCCAGTTAAATGGGTGTATTCACTTTACGAACAGTCTTTGAGGTTACACTTAACATGCACTTTTCTGTGTATTGTTATACTTCAATAAAAAGCTAATAGGTTTAAATATAAAATATATATGTGGATGTATATTATGTCTCTCACTTTATATAATTAGTTTCACACTGTACCCTGTTCACCTCACTTGTTTTTCACTTACGGTCTATCTTGGATACCTTTCCATGTGAATGCATAAGTTTCCTTATCCTTTCTTTATACCATAATTTGTCCTCCATTAGTGGACACTTAGATTGTTTCCACATATTTGCTATTACAAATAATGCTGTAATAAATAATCTTTACATATGTCATGTGTACTTGCGCAAATATATCTATATATCTAATTCCTACAAGTGAATTGTTGAACCAGAGTTATGCCCATATGTAATTTTGGTTTATATCGTCAAATTATATTGTCGAATTGCTCTTCATTGAGGTTGTACCAAATTTTTTCCTGCAGACAATAAGAGTACTGTTCCTCCACACAGTTGCTTTCATTTTCTTTTGAGATAGATGGTGCAATTTTGGCCTGATGATTGCTGGAGTTCATTTAAACTCATTTAAATGCTAAGATTCTTTTCATTGCAAGACTTCTAAATGGTTGATTCAATTTATTTATCACAACCTCAAACCTTTAGCTTTCATGAATGTGTTCACCATGACAGAGTTTAAAAATGTATTCTTAGTCATATATGTATTGTTTAGTTCCCATAATTAATTGGCTAAAGACAGAAAACTTAAAGAATACTGATGCTGAATTACATCAACTAAATGAGAAAAAATGAGAATAGTTATACAAATTAGGTAAAAAACAATTACCACATTTGTATGTTGAATTCATCTGTTCAAAATCCTGTAAAATCACTCTTTCTCTCTGACAAATAAATAAATAAAATCTTAAAAAAAAAAAAAGGGTTCCTGGGTGGCTCAGTCTGTTGAGTGTCTGCCTTCTGCTCAGGTCATGATTCCAGGGTCCTGGGATCAAGTCCTGCATCGGGCTCCCTGCTCCGCGGGGAGCCTGCTTCTCCCTCTGCCTGCTGCTCTCCCTGCTTGTTCTCTTTCTCTCTGATAAATAGATAAATAAAATCTTAAAAAAAATTCTTTAAAGTCACATTAAGATTTTTCTATTTACTGAGAATTAAGGTTATTTATACTGCAGATGCTCTTTTATGAAATAGCTTGAAATCTCTAATATTTCAATTAGAAAAAAGATGGAAAAATTAAAAAATAAACCACGTAAAGTACAAATCCAAGAATTTCAAACATCTCATTCTAATTTTTTCTCTTTTTCAGTCTGAAAGCACCTAGTAAGTTTTAATAATACAAATGCTGGGAAAATCTCTATAATTACATAATAGTGAACAGTTTGCATGGGAAAACTAACATTTGGGGTACATTTGGTACATTTTCTTCCTAAAAAAATCTCAAAAAATACCTGATAAACTCTGTGATGATGTGGAGTCTATTGTTATGGAGAGTCAGAGAAGTACACAATTTTGCAGTTAATGAGCACCATAATGTTTCTCATTTAGCATTCTAATTGTGCTCACTCCTAAAATTGAACATGTTATTTTAAAATTGTTGATAAATGATGCTTTTTCTGATAAGCTAAATTAAACCAAATTCTTCATCTCAATTGGAAAAAAGTAAACAGTTCTCATGCTAGAATTATTAATAAAGAACATTAAAGTCAACCTATTAATATAGTATTGATAATAGTTTTCTCAAACATTTTTCAATCTAGAGTTGCACTTTTATCATTTAGCATTCAGAAAAAGGTGAAATTATTTTTAAAAATTCCTAAGAAGTTAAATTAATGTATCTTTCTGTGAAAGTGCTGAAAAGTAAAAAAAAAAAAAAAAAAAAAGTTTGAAGATGCTAGTACAATCTCCCATTGAATGAATACCTAGCAAAGGGTTGCTCAGCTTCCTTTGAACATTTCCTGACAATAGGGAATAAACTACATTTTGAACAAGGTGTTTCCATTGATTGATTAGAAGTTTCTATTATTAAAATTCTCTAACATTCTGAGTTTTACAAAGTTCTGGTCTTCATATTAGCTGCTTATGCTATATTAAATTGACCTAATTCTTCTACCTAGACAATTTGAGCTTTGTCATTCATTCAGCAAACACAAAGGGGATACCACTTTTTTT